ACATTACGTCGTACTTACTTTTATGAGAAATTAGTACCAAGCATCCGCAACACCACACAAGTAATTACCATACTCTAGTACTCCTCATCAATCTTCCTAAGGATCAGAACTAGAACTAGTCAACCGAGTCACAATTGAAAAATATTATGTATCTCAAAGGTAAAATCAAGTTTNTGGTAATTATTACATACCTTTGCATCCCCTATAGAATTGACCAGGCTCTCCCATAGTATGGCCTACTTGTTTTCTTTTAAAATTTATGAAACAAATTTACCTTCCAAAAATAAAAAGTACTTCTGTTATCTAAAAAAAAGACCAAAAAATTTATTTATTGGTGGACATTTAACTACAACCTTTAAATTTTTTTTTCTCTATACCAATGGAAATAGGACTACACAATTATATTTAGTATGCCTTGTCATGCCCCGTTTTTCATAATACGGAATAATGTGATTTTAGAATCGTAATCAATATACTTACACATCTTTCATCTTTGCAATGGAAAAAATTCTCGTTTGTTAAAATCGTCAGGTCAACAACTTAAGGGAAAACCTTTTCAAAATTTATGAAGGACCCTTGGAAAATAAATCACATGTGATTAGTAAAAACAATGGGCAGCAACATGATAGGCAGAGCAATAAACAACAAAAGAAAATCACGCACAACAGTAACTACAATCTAGTGGAATGCTGTCCCACACAACAAAACATGATCATCTCTGTTTTAAGTTTACATACCCAAGAGCTTAACTGACGACATCTAAGTTTAAGGTCAAGCGACGAGTCTGGAACGAAACTCCTCACATCACACATAATCACCTAAGACAGCCACAAACGAGAAATTCAAGCTCTGCACTGATACTTCTCATTGACTTCCCTGACCTCTCGATTCATTTCTAAAAAATGATAAGTAGGAATGAACTTCACATTCCAATTGGATAACTTTTCTCAAACATTATCAAAGTTTTGAAAAAATACATTATATGCCTTCAATAATTGAAACATACTAGCATTTTTTACATATATGAAAATTCCAGTGTATAAAATATAAAACATGATATGCATGACACATTTAATAAAACAGTTATAATGCATTAAATCAATATAAATCAATTTCAAGGCCCTGACATGCCACAAGCGTCAACAAAACCAATTAACAAAGTATTAAACTTAGTCCAGATTTGAACTGTACCAAACCCAAAGAAAATTTTGGAGACTTACACTCTAGGGACATTACGTCGTACTTACTTTTATGAGAAATTAGTACTAAGCATCCGCAACACCACACAAGTAATTACCATACTCTAGTACTCCTCATCAATCTTCCTAAGGATCAGAACTAGAACTAGTCAACCGAGTCACAATTGAAAAATATTATGTATCTCAAAGGTAAAATCAAGTTTATGAAATATCAATTTTAATTAACACAATGCACGTTATGAGATAACATGATGTGGGTGTTTATTTTCTTATTTTTAAATGTTTATTATATTTGAATTGGTGTCTAAAATACATAAATTGTGCATCTGAAGTATACAATGACTTAATATAAATTATGTTATTCAAGAATATGAAAAAAAAACTAGTACCTGAAGTAGAGAAAATTTTCTTTTGTTAGAAAAGGGCATATAAATTACATACTTGAAGTTTTTAAATTATTGTGATACTAGAAGATCACAATTTAATTTATAGAGCCTGAAAATCATAGATTATTAAATTCATAAAATTTTGTTAGCAGTACTTGAAAATATTAATTAATGCATGTAGTATTTGTTTTCATTATATTAATGCATATTTATATATTTTTTCATCAAATTTTTTTGTACTTATAGGTCTATCCAAGATGGTTAACCTCACTTTAGAGGAGTAGAGGTTAGCGATTCAAATTTGGTAGGTAGATTCTAGATTTCTCTCTGATCCTCCCTAGGCTATTTCCAAATCGAGTATGTATTCACATGTGCCGATATGTCAACCTCATGGTGATCTGCAAAATAAACTTTGATGTCTCCCTAGGCTATTTCACAAATCGAGTATGTATTCACATGTGCCGATATGTCAACCTCATGGTGATCTGCAAAATAAACTTTGATGTCTAATCCTCTGATCATTCCAAGATACTGACATTTCATGAAGCAACTCATGAATTTGTATGGATGAAATTTGTAGTCCATCACATCCGAAGTACATGTGGACTCCCTTCAACTATAAACACATCAACAACGATGTATGAAAATAGTATTGCTTGTATTGCACAAATCAAATAAGGATTTATTAAAGATGATAGAAACAAACATATTTTATCAAAGTTCTTCTATATTCATAAACTCCAGCAAAATCGTGAAATTGAAGTAAAGTATATATGTTCAAGTGATAATCTTACAAATATATTCACTATAACTTTACCCTCGTCAACATTCAAAAAGGTGGTAAACAGTATCAAAATTTGCTAGATTTGTAACCAGCTCAATTAATCTTCTTGTCAGGGGAAGTATCCATATCAAAATATAAGATAATTTACAAGGTTTACTTTTTTTTCTTCCCCTAATTTTTATCCCATTGAATTTTATTGACAATATTTTAATGAGACAGTATTTGTGAGTTCAACGCTTTTTTAATATAGTGGTGATCTAAGAGAAAACATTGTAAAATAGTGATACAAGTGGATGCAAAAAAAAAAAAAGTGATACAAGTGGATGATCAATTCTTAATGGTCTTCCCCACCGTCTCACCCCACTCAATTATACAACCACCCAACCAACTTTTTTTATGGCACAATATGTATTATAGTTTCAGTGGCCTATAAAAGGGATTCTGGTGCTTGTATGAAATGCAAACAAAAGGAACAAACAAAAAAGAGAAAAAAAGAAAAGAAAAGAAAAGAAAAGTTTGATTTTGAAGATTAATACATTAATTTTTTAAAGGATTTATTTTATATATTTTTTGTACATTTATCTTTTTATATGTTATTAATATTTTGTCGATTTTACAACACATCATGAATATTGAGCGCACATTTGAAAAGGAAAAGAGGAATTCAATTTGTAATCCTAATTCTTACTAAGTTTGTTTGTTAGCTTGTTTGTTTGTTTTTTGAGAAATTTGGAGGTCGTTCCCCTATATGAACTTATTTTGAGATAAGTCCGTCAAGAAAATTTATTTAGTTTTAAGTCCATTTTTTGTCAACTTTATTATTGTAACCTTTCCTTGTAAGAAAGTAATAAACGACATTTGAAGGAACGTCTCCTTCATAAACGGACACAATGAACGGGAGATACTATTCCTTCATAATCGCCTTCAAATTTGGCTATAATCTTTCAATCCACAATATTTCATTCTCCAAAAAATAAATAATCGACATTTGCCTAAAATCGTTCATATTCAATTTTTAAACAGATTACATTCTATAAGATACAATTTTAATTTTACTATTTAAGTTTACCGTGAATTCCATCGACAAAGTTACAGTTAACTCTTGACATTCAAAACAACTTGACAGTTTTGGGATTTAAAAATAGAGTTAAGGTGTGTGATTTTGCAAGAAAGTTGATGTTC